CAACTATGATTTTCTCCACATCTACCTGGAATAATGGTTTTTCCTTACATCTACACTATGGTTATGATTTCTTCTTACTTTTACACTATGATTCTTGATGCTAATTTGGTTTAGCCAGTCAAAATGTTGACCCCATCAAAAGGTGGTTAACATTATCTGAGAGTGGGAACAGTTAAAAATGCTGAAACTGAAGATGTTATACTCGTAAGAAGGTTCTTTATTAAGGGACAGCTGGATCCTGTAATAAGATATTTTGTGGGCCTTGCATTGGGCGTTGCTGTGAATTGATTCCCAACAAAGAGGGGATAAAAACTTTGCGCTTTGAAATTCCTTTGTTTGTTATATAGGATTGAGAAAGTTATATGTTATTTATCTTTCCCTATTATCTTTTTATCCAGAAAAATAAATCTTCCCCTGTGATCTCCTCTTCTTCTAAATGTTAAAAGAACATAATATAAAAATGGTAACAAAATCAGGCAAGAGGTGCAATGAGAATTCTCGAAAATTGGTGAAGCCTTCCATTGTGCTAGGAATCAACAACTCTATTTTCAAGATTTTAGTTAGCTTTTGTTTTATCTCATTACTTTACGGTTTTGCATTAACCAATGGAAACTAATTGCTTCTCAACCTCATGTATACACAAACTAGATAAGTGTTTCAAATTTCTTAGTTAGATCTCATCACATTGTTTGAATTAAGCTTCATATGTGTGTGTGTGTGTGTGTGAACTTATTAGTGAATCATTCCTCTTCTTCTCTATTAGAGGATAAAGCTAGAAACTTTGCTTCCATGAAGGAATGTGCATGTCTGTTGTTTAGGAAATAATTTTTTCATCATCTAAAGATGATTCCTTGTCGCATTACGATCCTTTATGATGCAAAATAGATTAGCTTTGGATTGGTTAAAAAAGATTAGATTAGAAATTATAATTCAAATCTATTGATAATTTGGAATGAGAAGAACATGAGGTCCTTTGAGGGGGTGTAGTCTTCTTTTGATAGATTTAAAGATACATGATTCTGAGCACTAAGTTCTTTTTGTTAAGGGGTCAACCACTATATTCTAGTGAGGATCTTAGGGACCTAATCGCATTTTGTTAGAGATGTAAATATCTTTGTATATACACACTTATTAAACTACTATACTATTTAGGAGTTTATTATTATAATTTTAGTAACTTTAGGATTTTATTCTTATAAAACTACATATTTTTTAATTGAAAAAGAAATTCTTATTGGTATTAGTATTTCCTATCTTATTAAGGGTGGTATTTCAAATTTTTTTAGTTTTAGTATTTCTTATTCTAATCCTACTCGTGAAAGATTAACTTGACACTCTATAAATACCTTTGTAGTCTTCTTGAGATCATCAATCCACTATTCAGTAACATACTTTGAGAATTTCTTAATACTTTATTGTGTGATGCAATCAAACCTTTTTAGTGCGATACTTAACATTTCTTAGATGCGACGTCTAAATAAATCTTAAGTGTGATGTCTAGATTTTTTGTCCCTAAATTTTGTCCAGATTTTTGGCCATAAATTTCTAAATACGATAGGAAACCTCACACTGCTTGAGATGAACTTTCTCTTTCTCGTTGTGAGGACCAAGATTTTATTCCTTACCCCCACCTATCTTCAAACCCAAGGAAGCTAGAGCACATGCTGCCCCCTTCATGCTTTTAACCCATGAGATTTCATTTTTCTTTCATTAAGACTACCCAGAAGCTTCAGGAATCATTGCACCTCAGACCTGAAAGACAATGTAGGACCAATAGCCTTTCCCATTCTTGGACACCCTAACAAGATCAACAGTTCCACTATAAAGGGTTATGATGAAATATCTACATTCATTGACCAGGGATATCTGAGGGGGAGAACCTGGCATAAGAGAGTAGAAAAACAGGTCTAGGAAAGGGAAACTTGCTACAAGGGAGGAGAAAGAGAGAGATTTTGCAGCAGAAATTGTATTTTCCTGTGCCTTTACTCATAAATAATTTTTGCTTTATTATCTTGCTGCTTGAACCTTAGCCTTTCCATAGAAATAATAACTTGGGCAAGCCATGTTAGTTCCTCTTGATATTTACTTATTTCTTTACCACAAGCTGCAGTAACTTTAGTTCAAAATGTTTGCTAACTGGATCTTTACCTGCGTTGCTTTACCTTTGTAGATTGATGTTAACTCCTTATTTTAGTTGATATTTTTTACATTTTTATTTATCTTTTTCATGTTCACCCTTATGCATATTTGTAAACAACATTGCTTTGAATGAGCTCTTGGTGATTTAGAATTTTCTTTTTGTAGCTTTTATTCTTTGGATCAGTTGTATTGATTTGTGTTTCCTTCTCAATCTGCAGGCTCGAGAAGGTTTCTGTTTCGTCATACACTAGGTAGATTTCAAAGTGAGGAGGTAATTACCAATTCCTGTGTCGTAGCCTTAGAAAAATACTCCTCCCCCACCCACCCTCCCCCCCAGGGGTCCCCCCTCCTTCATGGATTTATGATTGAGATTGTTGCCTTTGCATGTGTATGCAAATGTTGTTTCAGATAGATTTTATATTTCGTTTATCTTGTTACTAAAAAATATTTTTGCCCCTTACAAAAATATATATGCAGGCACAGTTCATTAAGGCCGAGAATAACATGAAGGAGTTAAATCTTTCTGTTGAGTTATTGAAGAAGGAAAGCAAAAAACTGCTTGAAAGGGCAGCACTTGCTGAGAAGGATACAAAACGTGGTCATGCTGAGCTCATGTAAAACTGCTATTCACAGCTTGCATGCTCTTAATTGTGAGTAGCTGTTTTAACTGGTACAGTTTATTTGTAGGAATGCTGGAAGACGGATACAGCATCTTGCTAAGTCAGTTTACAAGGTTGAGACCCAAGCTGCAGGTATGTATCTTGAGAGTGTTGGTTGCTTCTTAAAGCATAGTTCTGTGCCTCTCGTGTGAACTGTTCTTTGATTGTCACACTGTAGCCTAGTAAATTACAACATCCTCAAAGTAGGGTACTTTGTCAAGTTTTGAATGATAAATATTTCCTAAATTTAACTGTAAAGTCGTTTTCATTTTGTGTTTGTTTTTTTTCTTTCTCTTGGTGTGCTATGAAGATTTGATGGATGGGCTGCGAGAAATCCCTGGCAGAGAAGCCTTGAAACTTAGAGCTGATGTAAGTCAAAATATTTATGGTTATTTTGACAATTCAAGTACCACTCCTTGATCAGCCATTTTATTGAAGCTTTTCCCTGTTATGTTTTGATTTAGGTTGCTTCTATGACATCACTATTGAAGCGGCAGAGGACTGCTCTGGACAAAAGGATAATGGGGATATCTGAACTTGGAGTTCCTATTTGATAAGATTTATAGATTTTCCTAACTCGTTTTGAATAAGATTTTTCGGTTATGAGAGATGGGGACAGTCAGGTAAGGGAGACCGATTGTTAAAAATACAAGTGATTTAAGCGAAGTTGCTATGGTTGGAGGTCCCAAGCGACTCGACTTATGGCACGGTATTAAGCATAAATTGCTGCTCAAATGGCAGCTGAGTCTTGAAGGTTCTTGAATGATTTGGGAATTGCTTATTTTTATCTGCATACCCATTCCAAGTGGGAAGAAAATTCATTTTGGATTTTTATATATAACATCCAATACATTTCTTTCCTCTCATAAAATTAGATTTGACAAAATTTGAAACTCTTTCATTTAGAAAAATTTTAATTAGTGGATGATTAAAAAAAAATTGTTAGAAACAATCCAATTTACTTTTTCCTGAGCATTTCACCTGTGTAACATTTTTATTAGCCGGCTAATAAAAATAGGGATGATAAATGGGATTATAGATAGGGATGAATGCATAACAAGTGCCTACATATATATATATATATATATATGCTATATAATTGAGCGACAAGTATAAATATAGTGATTTATATATATATATATGCTATATAATTGAGCGACAAGTATAAATATAGTGATTTAAAGAGCACATAGTCTACCAATCAAAACCACGCAATATCAATTTTCTATGCAATCGTTGTTTTGACAACTTTAAATTCAACAAGAACAAAAAAAATTCAAAGAAAACAAGTTCAGTGGTGAATGTTTTTTGGGCAAGAAACATAGGAGTGGAAATAAAGCCGAAGATCAAAACTCTAAGAGAGTGAAATATTCAGGTTCAGGTATTGAAATAAAGCTGAAGATGCAAGTTTCAGAGAGCACCTGATACATTGCTTCAAAAAAATTTCAAGGACCTCCACTAAATCTGATTATTCAAACTAAACCCAGTATATAGATAGACTACAGTGCGAAGTAACTAGAACACCAAGCCCCTGAAAACAAAAAGTTAACCAAATGCCGACTGTGACAGAGGAATGCCCGAACTCGTTTTCCTTTCATTTTTTTTTTCTGCTGTCAGGTACAAGTG